TGGTCTGTGGGAGCAGAGAGGGCCCCTGGCTGACAGCCAGCCAGGAAACAGGGACCTCAGACTCACAGCTGTAGGAACTGCATTACATCAACAACCTGAATGAGCTCAGAAGTGGATTCTTCCCCTGAACCCCCAGATGAGAGCCCAGCCGGCTTACACCTTGCTTTCAGCTTTGAATTCCTGAGCCAGAGCCCATTCCAGCCACACCAACTTCTGACCTACTGCTGTGGGAAACCAAGTGTGTGTGGGTTCAGAACTCCAAGTTTGTAGTCATTTATTACACAGACTACAAAACTCACATGATAGGTTTCACATGGCTGTGGAGCTAGCTGTCTCTCTGTTGGATATTTCTGGAGCCAGCTCATTTCTTCATAAAATTCCTAAGATGGCTACTTCTACCATCTCCACTCCCATGAGGATGAAGCCACACTCTGGGTGCCTCTGAGCCTGCCTCATATTCCTAATTTCATGGTCCACTGGAGGCCTGCTCCCTTGAGTTTCAAATCAAAGTAGAGGGACTCTCGGTCATTTCAGTGAGGAAGTGGAGGAGAGGCCTACACTTGGCCAAAGTCATGGTTCCACATGGGCAGGAAGCAGATGTCTTGTGGGGCTCTGTGTGGCCTCTGCAACCCTGCTGTATACACACTGCACAATCAACCCTAGGATGGCTTGAAATGAAAGGTGGAAGTTTCCAGTTGACCAAAAGCCTAGTCCATAAGGTAGGGGACTGTGGCCAAGGGCTGGGGAAAGGGCTTTGAAGGTAAAACTCCAGTGAGGAAGTGTCTGAGCCTAAGGGCTAACTGCAAACCCCACAAAACAGGAGCTCTTCAGCTACTCCAGAGAGAAAGGATTCACCCTGAAGGGCTTTCAGCTCTTGGTTCTAATTCTGTCCTCACCAGAAGCTGAGTGTGTACCAAGACATTTGTGACCGTCGTGGGGATGTCTGTCCACCTAGCTGCCTGTAAAGCTGGCTTGTATATACCTTTCCTCCCTTCCTCCCTCTGTTCCTTTTGCCTTCCTTTCTGTATTCCTTTCCCTTAGGAAAAACTATCATGTTTTGATGGGAGATGGTGGGCTCTAGCACTGAGACAGAGCCCCTGGAAGCCACCCCCACTTTCTTCAACCATAAAACGCCCGGAATCCTGCTACTTCCTGCCTTTGCTGATGAGAACCATTCATTTCTGGAACCAATCAGTTACTTCTGCTCTAATGAACTAATGTCTTTTCTTGCTGAGAAAATTCTGATCAGACCCTTAGCTTCATCTCCTTGTTCTTGGAAGGAGATCCTGTGCATCTGGGAGCCCAAATCTCTTTTAACGGGGCAGTCTTGGCTCTTTTAATGGGGCAGTCCTGCGCTTTCTTTTATGGGTTTGAGGCCCAGGGTAGCTATATTGAGGGACGAGAAAGGGCTAGGGAGGGATGGAGTTAGAGGAAGGAGTAAGAGGAGGGGGAACTGTCTGTGACTTGTGCCCTGAGTCCCCTCAGTAGGTTTGAGAATGATTTTGTAGGTTTGTGGCTTTGCTGTATTCAAGAAATCTGCCTATCCACGGAATTTCTTCTGCCCCAAGGCTGTTTCTCTTTTCTTTTCTTTTCTTTTTTTTTAAAAACCTAAACAAAGCAACAAGATCAGAATGACTCATGTAGACATGTGTAAATGATTCTTTTCTTTTCTTTTTTTTTTAAAAACCTAAACAAAGCAACAAGATCAGAATGACTCATGTAGACATGTGTAAATGTGTGTGTGTGTTAAGACGAGCTTGTGAGTGATCACAGGGATTCCAAGTGTGACCCCTCCTGATTCCCCATTGCAGTCAGCAGGAAATGATGGCTGCAGGGCGCTGGAGCCAGGAGAGGGAGAACAGAGGAAGGAGAGAGGGGAGCTCCGGCTCCTGACGCAGCCTTGGTTGGGGCTGAGGCACCGGGGCCTGCCAGGAAGTGTGTTTTGTCCTGACAGCCTGGGCTTCTCAAACACCACCTCAAGGAGACAGCAGAAGGTTGGGGGTGGTACATATCTGGGAGGAGGAGGAACTGTCTGAGCTTCACCCTCTCCTGCCTCCTGGGACCCAGTCCTGGGGCTTAACGGTCAGACAAAGCTACTTTAGAAGTACATCCTTCCCCCCCAACACCCCCACTCCACCTTCTCTGAGCGCCGCTGTGGAACTCACCCATCCTGAGGTGGGAGTTTAACCTCCGTCCTCCACTCCACTCCAGAGAGAGCCCCATCTGGACCAGGCCAGACCCATTGCTCCTTGCTGCAGCCAGGCCTTTCTTGTAAAGCAGAGCCTGTGTCTCCTGAGCTGTGAACTGGAGAGGACATCAGTGGTGCGGAGGCTTGTGTTGTGTCAGCTGAACCAGGCTGAGCCACACTCCCCAGAATTCCTTCGCTGCTGGCTTCCTATGCAGGTGGGTCGCCGGCACTCTGCGGAGAGGTTGGGGGTGGGAGGGAATCACGGCCACGTTGTACAGCCACGTGACTCTGATGGTGTGCGGCAGCGGCTGGGTCTGCAACCGCATCGTCTTCTCTCATGACCAGGGCAGTGTTCAGCTCCAAAATGAAGGATTCTGTCTTCTCCTTCCTCCTTCCCCTCACTTCCCAGTACTGAGGACTGAACATAGGACTTTCACACTGAGGCTACATTCCTGTCCCTTGCTCCATTTTAGATTTTTTGTTTGAGACAGGGTCCCTCTAAATCACTGTGTTGCTTGGGCTGGGCTCAAACTTGTGATCTTCCTGCCTCAGCCTCCCAGAGAGCTGGGATTATAGGCATGCACCACCATACCCAGCTAAGAATCCTGGTTTCTTTCCCTCCCCTGGGAACTTCAAACTCCAGCATCAGACCTGAAGACAGCAGTGTTACTGAGTCTGCCTACAGTCAAACCCCTCCCTGTAAGAAAGCCACATATAATAAGACATACCCATGCCTATACGTGTTCCTGCCCCTAAATCTTCATCTATTTATATCTGTACAAATTGAATATGACTAATGTGAAAATCTACAATCTAAAATGCTCCAAAATCCAAAACATTTTGAGTGCTCACACAGTGGAAAATTCCACGCCTGACCTCATGGGATGAAACATCACCCAAACTAATGAAAAATATATAAACTTATTTTCAGACTGGGCCGGGGAATTTAGCTCAGTGGTTCTGCCGTCTGCCTCCCATGCGCAAGGACCCAAGTTCGATCCCCGGTGCACCCCCCCCAAAATCATCTTCGGACTATGTGTACAAGGTGTATTTGAAATATACATGAATTTTGGGTTTATATCCAAGATATCTCACTCTATATGCAAGTATTCCAAAATCAGAAACACTTCTGGCCCCAGGCATTTTGGATATAGCAGACAACCTCGGTATTAGTCTGTTTCTCTGGCTAAACACTGAGGAGTGCAGGTAGTAATACGTCCTACCTCCCATGGTGGGAAGTGAATGGAATTCAATCACTTGAAAGTGTTTGGTCACCAGAAAGAGGTTGTTCTCCGGTCTGAGCACACGTTAGAGTCATGTGGATTGGGACTGCTGGATCCCACCCCCAGTGTGATTCCCAGGTCTGGGCAGGGCCTGGGAATCTGCATGTCTAACAGTCCACGGGGGACATAGCTCCTGTTCCTCTGGGGAACACACTTTGAGAATGAGGTGTTACATACAAGGGTGGGGGTTACTACCACCCACCAGGGATCCCAGGGGTCACTTGCAGCAGTGCCTTCCCTGCAGGCACCAGAAATCTTAGCAGTCTGTGGGCCCTGCAGGATATGGAGACCATGGAAGAAACAAAACCCTTGTTGGGTGTTCTTAAATCTGACCCAGAGGGGGCAAAAATGCACAGCCTAGCTTAGGGCAGGCAGACCCAAATGTGAATCCTAGCCCTTTCGTCCTCTGGCCAGTGTCCTGGACAAATGTCCTGCTCTGTGATAAAGGTATGATGATGTCTCATAGGGTTTTCATGAGGCTGACGTAAATGCAGCACATGTGCAATAAACACTGCTTGTCAGATTTAGCTATTATGAGTTATGCTGCTATAAACATGGGTGTGCATGTATCACTGTAATATGATGTCTTTCACTCTTTCAGGAAGAAACCTAGAAAGGAAATAACTGGGCCAGATAGAATTTCTAGTTTTAGTTTTTTGAGAAATGTCTATATTTATTTACATAGTGGTTATACTAGTTTACATTCCTACCAACAATGTAAAAAGGTTCCCTTTCCCCTGTAGCCTTGCCAGCTTTTGTTATTTGACTTTTTGAGGATAGCAGTTCTTTGTGAAGTAAGATGGAATCACAGTGATGAATGGCTAAAGAAGATATGGTATTTACATACAATGGAGTACTACTCTGCCATAAAGAAAAATAAATTTGAGGGCCGGAGATTTAGCTCAGCGGTGGCCTGCCTTGCAAGTGCAAGGACCAGAGTTCAATCCCCGGTACCAAAATAAATAAATAAGTAAGTAAGTAAGTAAATAAATTTGAGTCATTTGTAGGAACATGCCTTGAGACCACAATGTCAAGCGAAAGAAATCAGACATGCAGGCTTAAATATTGCACAGTTTATCTTACATAAGAGACCCAAAATATTAATAAAGAGCAAAACAAAGGATAGTAATAGGAAATAGATCTTTTGCAAAAGGGAAGGGGACAAAGAGATAGAGGGGAAAGGAAGGGGGAGGGACTGAAAAAAGAATTAAAACTGTACTATGTACGTGTACCAACTTCCTATGAAGAATATAATCATATGTCCTGCAAATATGTACTAATAAAAAAAATAAAAATTCAAAACAACTCCACTACTTCTTTTTTTTTGTTGTTTTGTTTTGTTTTTTGAGACAGGGTCTCACTATGTAGTTGAAACGAAACTGACCTGGAACTCACTATGTAGCCCAGGCTGGTCTCGAACTCACAGTGATCCTCCTGCCTCAGCCTTCCAAGTGCTGGGATTACAGGCGTACGCCACCACGCCTGGCTCCCACTACTTCTTTATGGGTCATATTTTGTAACTGATGACTTAGAAATGTGCAGATGAATTTTCAAAAATAGGTTCAAAACTTTACATTTACTCCTATTTGGTTTAGTTTTGTTTGTTTTAATCATCATCCCAGTCTGGTGCGATGCTGCTGAGCCCTGAAGTCATCCTTTGGCACGTTAGTGGTCCCTCACTAGTTCCCAAGTAACCATCTGACTGTTCCTGCATTGCCACTGCCGACATTAGATTGTATGTTTTAGGGGACACAAGGGGTAAGGGAGCAGTCCTGCTCCTGAGGCCAGGGAAGACATTTTGGCTCAGCCCCTTGGCAACTCCAGCTTGGGAAGCAGCCTTCATAGTTTCTACTGAGTTTTGTACTCTAATTGAAAACACCAACTTTGTGGGGAGGCTAATTTTTGAAGTGATAGAGGACATAAGGGGTCCCCTGTACTTACCCGGCTGGTCTGTCACCCACTCAAAGGCTTACTCTGTTTGAGTCCGACAGGAGACACTAGACCTAAGTCACAGTTTCTAGTTCAGTGGAGGCCTAAGTGAGGAGCTTTGAGAGGCAGTGAATGTGGGGCTCTCCCCTCATCGATTCTTTCCCTCATGAACAAACTACTAAAAGGAGAGAGAATTTTGGAACAAACTCCTTATATTATTTAATATCTTTGGGGCTGGGATGGGCTGAGGCCTGGGGGTGGGTGACAAGGTGTTAGCCAGTAGAAAGCCAAACAAGGTCCTCATCCACTGACCTCAGCTGGCTGGATTGCAAGCTCACTGGGAACTTTCTCGCTCATAGAGTCTGTCTCAGAACATTCTGGAACCATGCTGCCTCCTTACACCCTGACTTGTGGTTGCTGGTCCTTCCTTTTTACTTCTGCCCAGATGTCCGATAGGTCTTGGATAAACTGCTGGATCTGACAAGACAAAGAGACCAAAGTTAACCCTATCCAGCCAGAGACTTCCCCATCTCAAGATGGATCCCCTTGTAGGAAGGAATTTACGGCTTTCCTGAGACTGACTTCTTGAGGTGGCCATGTTGCCTCATTTGACAGTTTTTCTAGGTAAAATAGAGCATCAGGCTTAGGAGATTTAAATCCATACAGAGGGATGGGTTGGGACCTCCTAGAGGTGGACACAGTGATAATATGAAGAAAGGGCTTTCAACAGAAAGAGAGAGGATTACAGATGGGACATGGAATAAAAGTATTTAGCAGGCAGGGCCCAACCTGAGTAGGGACACCCTCAAGGTGAACCTGGAACCCAGACCCAACTGATGGTCATTATGATCATCTTGAACCTACTGATTAGCTTCTGTTTTGAAGAGCTTCCAGTAAGTAGGACACGGTGCTGCCTTTGGAGGTCAGAAGGCCCAGCTGGGCTCCTGATGCAGCAGCTCTGGGGAAATTACTTCATCTTCCTGGGACTCTTCTCCTTCTTCTCCCGCTCCTTCTCCATCCTCACCAGTTCCCTCTTCCTCACCTTCTTCTTTCTTCTTCCTCCTCTTCTTTCTCTTCCTCTCCTCCTCCTCCTCCTCTTCCTCCTCTTCCTCCTCTTCCTCCTCTTCCCCCTCTCTTCCCCTTCCCCCTCCTCCTCTCCTTCTTACAGTGCTGGAATTGAAGGTGGGCTGTACTACTGAGTTACATCTCCTGGCCAGTTTCTTCATCTTTACAAAGGGAAGAGGTGAACCAGGTGTAGCCCAGTGAGAGCATGTGCTTAGCACGCACGAGGGCCTGGCTCCAGTCCCCAGCACAGAATAAATAATAAATAAATGAGAAAAATTTAAAGGGAAGTGGGAGGAAAGGTTTTGCCCTGACACCTCCTACTATCTCAGTTCTAAAACTTCTTTTTCAACTGTTTCTGTAGTGAGCACTATACAGACTTTGTCCAAATCTCAACAGCCCTTTCAGTTACAGATATAGTTATGGTTACGGATAGAATTCCTATTTTACAAATGAAGACATACAGAGCCAATGAATTAAAACAACTTTCCAAATATTACGGAGAAGACAAATCGAGCGTTTCCCAAACTGTGCTGTTATATTAAGTGGTCACACAGCCCAAAAGGGCTCTTTGGCCAAGAAAGCTTCAGATGTGCCATCTATTTGAGGCTCTCCAAGTGCAGAGATATAATAAAGACTTTGCCAAAGCCTGTACTTTTTAAACCTGAACTTTAAATTACATTTTTCTCGATATATTAGTCTGTGGGATCCTTTTGTTTCCCCATAGGAAAGAGTATCTTGAGATGGTAGAATTTGCTAAGCAGTTTGGAAAATGCCACTCTGGTTGGTTTATTTAGGGATTATTCTAGATCCTTCACATTGTATTCAGATTGTCATGGCCTTTTCCAGAGTTGCGCCGTGTACCACATTTCTAGTTCTGTGTAAGATCTGCTTTTGAAGCCTGTGCCTGTATCTGTTGTAGGGCTGCTGTTGAGAACATTGTTCATTGAGTATCTCTGAAGCATCACTGAGAAATCTCAGTGAGAACTAAGTGTCTGGGAAAGGTATGTTCCCTCTGAGGAAACCTTATATTTTCTTATTTTGGTACAAAACTATACATTCTTTTATATCTGGTTATCAAGAAGCTCAGAGTCACTACTGTTCTTGTTGAAGGCTCTGATAATCTACGAAGCCACTGCACAGTGGACCCTCGAGTTACAAATGGTCTGACATATGAACAACTTGGGTTATGACCAGAATTTTAGTTTTAACTTATGACTAAAGTATTGTGTTATGACCCAAATGCAGGCCGTTTGTGCTTCCAGATGGTCTCAGGTACAGATTTAACCCTTACAGAGTTCTGGAAGGAATGTCACAATGTTCTTTCATGTGTGAGGTTAACTGAGAAATCCTGGGCCAATGTCTCTCTTAGGACACTGAGATCTGCCTGTACACAGGAGAGAGAGGCTTTGAAGGCTGTGTAGAGGAGCCTGAGCCTTCAACTGACCAACTTGAGTAACAATCAGCCTTCGGGAGCAAACTGAGTTCGTAAGTCAAGGGTTCACTAAGTTTTATTTATCTTTCTAGCCCTGATCTCTGATTTTAACTTATTTGTTTCCAGATTCTTTGTTTTTTTTCAGCCTACTTGGTTATGTGTATTTCTGTCAGTAGACTCATATCCTATGGGAATGAAGTGTGATATTTTAAGATCACTCTTGGGCAATACAAAGTGCTCCTGTAAAAATAAATTACAGCTGAGATTTTCTGAATTCAAATTCAAAGCTCAAAATTTGGAGTGGATAGACTGACTGGAAGCCCTGATCTGACTGCGGGCAGGAAGCTGCAGGTCACCACCTCCTAGAGCACTGCTCTTCAAACCAGCTAAAGGGAGGGGGCCTGAGACCCTACTAAGGGATGGGGTGAACATAATCAAAACTCTTTTCACAATAAGACCTTATTAGGCTTTTTAATGTGTGTGTGTGTGGGGGGGGCATTGGGATGGAACCCAAGGTCTTTGAACTGAGCTATATGCCTGCCTAGCCCTTTAAAATTTTTTGAGACAGTGTCTCACTAAGTCAGCAAGTCACTTAGGGTCATTCACATTTGCGATCTTCCTGCCTCAGCCTCCAGTGTGCTGGGAGTATAGGCTTCTGCCACCACATCCAGCAAATTTTTGTTTTAGGTTCCAATTTGGTAAAAGGTTAATAGATACAAAAAGCTCAACAGAAATGAACTCTGGGTGGTCACTGATAAACTTTAAGATCGTGACAATAACCTGATACTGCAAAGCCTAAGAATTTCTCCTTCTTGAACAAACTTTTTAATCAATCCCCTTCTTTGGATAAAATCATTCTGCTCTAGTATGCCTTAAGATGGAGCCTGTTTTAGGGAAATCTTTCTTCCTAGGTGGTCAACCTTTTAAATTTCATGAGTTTTGCTCCCCTCCTACTCCTCTTTCTCTTTTAATGGGGCAATTGCTCCTTACTTGATTGCTGGTTGGCTTGTGCTTCATATCTATTTACCAAATACTTCTTTTGTGTCTAGTATGTGCCAGGAATTATTCTAGACACTAGGGGATAGAGCTGGAAGCAAAACAAACAAAAACTCAGTCCTCAGGAGCTTTCTGATATTTCACAGTAGAGCTAAGGGCTTTTGCCATAGGAACAAATAATTATGTAGTTACGGTTCTGTGCATGTCAGAAGATGCTCTCATGCATTTGCTGGCGCTGAGTTTCCCGAAAATATGATGTGTGCAACGTCAGTCATGATGTTGGGTGGCACGGGAACATGGATGATATTAAATAACTGAGTCATACAATGAAAATTCTAACACCTTTTCAGTTTTCTTTCCACTGGTTCAAAGAATGTTTCAGAGTGGTGCTAACACAATTTTAACATTTCTGTAAACTTGCCCAGTTTCCTTTTTTTAAAACAGAGTGGACCTCAAACACAAGCTTTTAGCAGTTCCCAGTGTCACACTGGACTTTAATAATACTGTTTCGTACAACTAATGGATTCAACATTGGGTCCCTGCTCTTGCCCGGTGGTCTGAGATCAAAAAGGGTATTAGCACTAATGAAGTGGTTTTCAAACTGTGGGACCCCACCTAGCAGCCTCACTTGGGCACTTGCTGAATATGCAAATTGATGGGTTCTCATCTCAGACCTACTGAGTCAGAGATGGGAGGTGGGCTTGGCAACAGGCCTCCTGCCCTCTCAGGGCTGGTTCTGACACTGTTAACAGGTGAGAGCCACTGGCTCTGTCCTAGTTAGTTTCTCCACTCAGTCAATCCAGAACCGCCTTGGTTAGGCCAACACTTGGCCCCGGAACCCACATCTACCTACCATGTCCAGCTGTTTGTGGGTGTCCTCCAGGGGCACCTGGGTGGCCTCCTTCAGCTGCTTGGTAACGACCTGGAAGAGGTTCAGGGTGGCCATCTTAATGGTGCCCAGCAAGAGAGTCTTCTTAGCGGCAGTGTTCTGGATGTGTGCCCAGCGGGACTCCTGAGGAGGGGATGCAGGAAGCCGTGAGCAGGTGCGCATGTGTGTTTTGTGTGCACCTGGGGATGGGGGGGCGGGACCCTCACCCAGATGATGACGTCACTGCGGGCGCGGTCAAAGCGCATCTGCAGCCTCGCCAGCTCGTTGTTGTGCTGGAGGATCTCATCGTCCTTCTCCTCCATGTAGTGAGCCAGCCGTGCCTTTGCGCGCTCGATCTTCTCCTGGCCCTCCTGTGCTGACTGCATGAGGTCGTGGTGCATGCTCACCAGTGTCTTGTAGCGCCCGATCACCTCATGGATCTCCTCAAACTAAAGGGGGTGGGGGGCTGGGTCACTGCACTGCCAGACCCCAGGGACTGAAGTAGTCTCTTAGCTGGCCCCTGACCTGGACACCCAGATGCTTGCTCATGTAGGCACCTGGACAGGATCAAGGTCACAGTGAGGAAATAAGGGTCCCGAGGCCTGCTTCTCCTGAGTTTGTATGGGTCACGGGTCATGGCCTGGGTATTGGGGTTGCACAATTGAACCAGGGGTCGGCAACCTTCTGTCTCTTAGAATCATCTGGGGAGTTTTAAAAGTATATCAACGAGCTCCACTCCCAGAGATTCAGATTAATAACAGATCTGAGGTTGCCTCTGACCTCTGAAGTTTACAAAAGATCCCCTAGGTGACTGTAGGCACAGCCAGAGTTGAGAATTGTGGGTGCAGGGCATTTGGAGATGTTTCCCAGGGCAGTAATTCTAGTCACAAAAAATTCCCAAGAGCAATTTACAAGCCAGAGGCTGTGCTACAGGGACAGAACATGAGATGAGAAAGCTTGACTCTGTTCTGCTGAAGCTGACAGTTTGAGGGTTAGAGGGAGGACAGACAGAGGAGCAAACCGTTGGGTACAACACAGAGGATAAGCCTTATCTAGGTTTAGGGGCAGGGTGGAACTGAGAGTGGACCAGTAACCTCAAGCATGGTGCTCTCTGGTAGTTGTTCTACATTTTCTGGGGGGAAAGCTGGGCTGGATTGGGCCATCCCAGGGTGGCAGGTGGCCCGCCAGGCTCAGCTCACCTCTTCCATTTTGGTGCATGCCACTCTGGCCCTAACTGGCAGTCCCCACCTAGTAGAACAAAAGCCATGCAATCCACTTACTCTAGACAGTGATCTCCAGTTTCATAAGGCCAATTCACCGGGTCTGGTGGCTTACCACAGTGTGCCTTCCAGCCACCAGGAGACACTCCCCAAACACTTTCTCCACATCATATCACTTCTAGTGAGAAGTTAGGGTCCTGGGAATTGCCCTCCTGGTCTTTTCCCATATGCCTTTGGGAAACCACCCAAACCAGCACTGGAAGAGGCAAGACTAGCCAGAAAAGTTATCCCTGGAGAACAGATGGTGGAAAAGAGAGTGGAAGTATGAGCAGAAGATAGCCAGTCAAAAGCAGGTGGAGAAGGACAGGTAGTGTTCTGCAGAGAGAGAACAGCTTCGGGAAAGACACGAGAGGCTGTGTGCAGCATGTTTGGGTACTCAAGGTGGTATAGTGCAGGTGGTCTGAGTTCCAGATGAGGAGCAAGAGGTGGACCTGGAGAACTTTTTAAAAAAATGTCGCATGCTTGGTGGTGCAAGCCTATCACCCCAGGTACTTGGGAGACTGCGGCAGTCTGAGCAACTTATCAAATCTATCTCAAAATAAAAATATATAAGTACTCCCTGAGCATAATCCTTGGTACAGCGGGTGGGGAATGGCTGCCTAGTAAACTATGGAAGGAGCGTGAACTTTGCTGCTTCAGGATTTTAGGAGGCTGAGCAATAACTTCATGTCTGAATGTCCTAAAGTTTGCCAGGTGCATAATGCAGCAGCACACAGAGTTAAAGTGAATGGGCTACCTCAGAGCTCGGAGGAAGGAATCACAAAATCTTATTCTGATGTCGAAAAGATTTATGTGCTGATTTATGTCCGACCATCCAAGGAGGGGACAATTTGAACATTAGCAAGAATACGATTAAAAGATATTAAATATAACAAAAATCCATGAAGACACAATAATGTTAAAAGTCACAGGTCCTTTTTAGACGATGGATGGAAAACCAATTCATTATTCTGAACACTATAAAGAAGCAAGCTAATTAGCCAGCTTTTTCTAAGTAGATGATCATGAAAACATTTTCTTTTTTGCCCATTTTTAAACGTATCAGTGTAATCATATAGTATATCCTTTTGGGTGTGTCTGGCTTCGTTTGCTCAGAATAATGTCTGTAACACTTAAGAAACACATACAGTGTGAGGAAACTAGTTTGGACTTTGGAACAAACTATCTGTACAGTGGGTGGGGGATTTAGCTCAGTGGTGCTGCTGCCTGCCTCACAAGCACAAGGACCTGAGCTTGATCCCCGGTACCAAACAACAAGAACAACAACAAAATCCACAAAAAAACAGAAAACAAAACTGTCTATACAAAAAGCATTATTAAAATAACTAGCTGGATATCTGATACTAAAGAACAGCTATCGAATTTTTAATAGATACAATAATGGTATTGTTATATTAAATGGAGCTTTCATCTTTCAGAGATAAAAACTAAAATACTTATGGGAGAAAAGAATATCATTTGTTTCAAAATGGCAGCAGGAAGATGTGGGGGAAATGACTATACCTGCTAAACTAGTTGATGTGTGCTGGGCACTCAGTAGACTGTTTTCTCTCTTTCTGTTAATGAGGAGTTGTCCAAAATATTACATTTCTTAAAAATATCGATTGGTACAAGACAGTTGGATAGAAAAAATAATTTCTAAGGTTCTATAGCACAGTAGAATAACTGTGTTTGACAACAACTAATTATCATGTCATGAGCATTACAAATCGCATACACATATTAAAAATGTCCACCAGACCCCACAAATATATAAATTATTGTGTCAATTAAATATAAAAATATACTTAAAATTGTTGAAAAAGGCAGATAACAGAAGGATACGTATAATGTAACTCACAGTTTATGAACAGGGGATAATGTTGCAAACTAGTAAAATCAGGCATGAAATTTTGAGACTTAAAAATCAAGATACTGACTACTCTCAAGGAGAGTGGAAGAAGAATGAGATTTAGAAGGACATATAAGGAAAGACTTTCAATTTCCAGCAGTGTTTTATTTAAGAAAAAACTTGGGGAAAATATTAGGATTTGACAAAGCTGTGTGGTGAGCTCTTGGTTTATGTGTTTCTCTCTACGTTCCAGTATGCCTAAAATATTTTGAACAACATAAAACATGAGGGAGAGAGAGAGAGAGACAGAGGGAAACCAGGAAGGCTGCAGAATGTGAGCAGTCTGACCAGGAATGACAGAATTGAGCTCCAGATGGGGGCACTGAGTAAGGAAGGGGCAGGGGCTGGATTCCAGAAATACTTAGGAGACAAAGTGGACCAGATCTGCTCATTGATGGCTGTGGAACTGAGCTGGGGGAGGAGCTAACCATGAGGGCTGGGTTGGGGCAGGGATGTGGGTGGGCGGTCCTGTCACTCACCAGCATGGGACAAACCAGCAGCAGACCTGGTGTGGGGGTGGCGGAAAGCACATGGGTTGTGGACAAGACAAGTTCAGCACAAGAGGCTGAAGTTTAGAAGGGACACAGCCAACTTCCTCAGTTCTGAGATAACCATTTACCAGCTCCGACTTCAAGATGTGTCTTACACTTATCTGCTGCTTGAACCCAGTCTTTTCTCCCCCTTCCCCTCAAAAAACTCCTCTAATCATCAAGTGAACAATTTATCTTACAGTACATTGGACCTTAGAATGGAGGAAATGACACAGATTCATGTATAAATAAATTAGAAGCTGCAGGGGCTTTAAAAAGCTGTGAGAGCTTTGTCTGTCTGTGTCCCTCACAAGACATTGACCCAAACCTTGTTGCTGGCCCTATGGGAGAGGGGAGGACATGCACTGATGTGGTCACATCACAGAGTCAAGAGCAAATGTAGATTTCATGGAGGAACAGTAAGAACATCAGTGCTGCAGGAGGCTTGGGTGAGAAGAGGGCTGAGAAGTTCCCTGAGCTCTGTCTACAGGGATAGCAGGGGAGTGGAAGTCGGGGCACTGTGGGGCCTAAAGAAGAGAGCTGAAAATCCCAGGCTCTTCCACTTATGAGCTGAGACTTTGTGCAGGTTACCTAACCTCCTGAGCCCCCACGTCCCTGTGTAAAGGGTGATGGGGTCACTTCCCCCCCTGGGCTAACGAGAGGATGGATGAACCACAGGCCTAGAGGCACTTGTGAAGCTCTGAGACTGGTATATGCGCAGGCGCATCTTAAGCACTCCAGCTCTGCGGTAGGTTGGGTGCTTTTCCTGTCTGCAGTTTACTCTCAAATAAACAAAAGGCACCAGGAAGCCAGGGGGTTGGGGGGTAAGGATAGATGTGGGCCTCGTGCTGATGCAGGCAAAGCTTATTGCTGGTGTTTCAAACCACATCCCTGAGACACACACACACACACACTCACACTCTCACACCCCGTCAGAAAGACGCAACCATGGACACACATGTAGACGTAAACGCATAACCACATGGAGACATTTACCTGGCCATCATACACACAGACAGACACATGACGAAACACCACTAGGTCCTGACCCACTGAAAACTGGGGCCTTCATCACCTGTGCTCCTGCGTGACCATCCTTGCTGATAGAGGCCCCTGGGACTCAGAAGGACCCCATGCACCAGCCCCCAGATCCGGGGAGGAGAGTGATAAGGGAGGTGCTGGCGTGGGACCCACCTCAGAGTTCTCCACCACCTTCTCCAGGTACTTGTTGAAGATAGAATAGTCCTGCAGCTTGTTGTTCAGCCGCTGATGCTCCAGCCGCAGGGCCGCCATATCCTCCTTGGCCTTGGCCAGCTCCCGCAGGTGATGCCTCTTGAGTTCCCGCTCCTTATTGGCTTTCTTTAGGGCACGGATTCGCTTCTGGTCATTCTCCTGATGAGATGAGAGAGGTGGCATGGGTGAAACAGTCTTGCCTTGGCATCCCTGGGGCCCCTGCCCACCAGGGGCTGGTGATGCCCTCAGCCCTTCTCTTTCTGCTGAGCCCAGACCTTGCTGAGTCACTGTAGGAGAAGAGGTGTGGAGAGAAAATACTTTTAGGGTTATCTGAAACTAGGTTTTGACTATGTAAAGCTAGTTCTTGAAGCCAAGAGATTTCTGTGAACTGAGATGTAGCTCAGGGGACTGTGGGAACAGAGGTTTAGTTCAAAGTCAAGAGATGACCTTATGAGGGCCAGACAGGAAATGATTCAGATTCTGTAGGATTTGGGCTCTGGATTTCAGAGAACAGACAAGCGAGAACCCATGAGTAAAAGGACAGAGGAAAACCCATATTGCAAGTGGGCTTGATGCCTGGAAAGAACTCACTCCTGGGGAAGACTGAGAAAGTCCAGAAGTGGGAGCTGGAGCCCTTCTGACAGAGCTTCCATTGTTCCTGTCCTGAGTAGTGGCCATCTGTCACGGGGCAGATGGCTGGGCCAGGGTTGGAAGGCCCAAATTTTCTCCTGATTTGGTACTCAGTGCCTCAACTTCTCCAACTGTTGAAATGTGAAACAGTAGCCCCTTTCTTCCTTGCAGACTGTAGGCCACAGTGATTATACACAGATGAGACATGTTCCTAGGAGCTCAGACCAGCATCAATGGGGGCAATGGGATGGTTCGGCTAATACCACGCCTGGAAAGGAAGGACGAGGCTCAGCTCCTGCAATCAGTCTGAGTCCACCTACTTCCTTGTGCAAAGCCCACTCCATGCCTGCTGTCCTGTGCCTCCTTTCTCCTCTCAAGGACTCCCATGACCATACAAGCATGGGCAGGTGTGATGGCAGATTTAGAGGATGTGGAAGTAGGCACATGGAGGATCTGTGCTCTGCCATGTAAGCACAGGAGGAGGCAGGAGCCCTAAACTAATGGTTTGCAAATGCACCTTTGAATTAAAGTCATCCGGGGAGCTTAAAAATACTTTTGATATCTGGACCCAACCTCAGACCTGCTGAAAGCAGAGAGAGAAGAACGCCACTGGAGTCTTGTATTTGTAACAAGCTCTATGGGATGCCAAAGCTTCTGACCCTCTGAAAATTATTGGAAGCACCTTGCACCTCAAATCTCCTGCTACCCTAACCACCGCTACCCACCAGTTTTTATCTGGTTACTAAAACGGGCTGGATCCCAGGAGAATGTGCTCAGCTTGCCAACTTCCTGTCCTTTGTGGTTAGGCACAGAGTGTGACTTGAGAGCAAAACTCCTCTGAAGGAGAGGGCAGCCATTAGTTCTCATACATCTGGGTCAGGCCTTCGGGGCTCCTTAAGAGATGACAGAAGCAGATCCAAATAAATCTGAATTTTAAGATGATTAAATCCTGAGAGGCTGAGGCAGGAGGACTGCAAGATTAAGTCTGGTCTAGGCAAATTAGGAAAATCCTGTCTCAAAATAAAAAAAATTTAAAAGGCTAGTAAAATAGCTCAGTGTGAAGGACCTGAGTTCAATCCACAATAACCACACACACACACACACACACACACACACACACACACAAAATTCTTTCTCTAAGGACTGATGAGGAAGGTTGTCTTGGGATATTCTCTGCTGAGTGGTCCTTCAACAGTCCCCCACCTTTGGTTCAAGGAGGAGAAAGGAGAGTGCGTAGGGGACTAAAACCTCCAGTTCATTCATTGTATCCACAAGTGCTTATCCCTGATGGGCACATCTATCCACCCACCAATCCACCCATCTATCCACCCATTCATTGACTGGATAAACTGCACAGCAAGGAAATAGGAAACAGCCACGGGGGTAGTCAGAGACTGAGGGTAGACAGGAAACCGCAATCAGTGCAATGTGGAGAGATATGAAGGATGTCTGTGGAAGCACCAAGCATAACTAGAGTACTGAGAATACTTTTAACCCAGTGAGAAGCCTGCAAAAGTGAGGAGGAGGACCCATTCATTGACTGGATAAACTGCACAGCAAGGAAATAGGAAACAGCCACGGGGGTAGTCAGAGACTGAGGGTAGACAGGAAACCGCAATCAGTGCAATGTGGAGAGATATGAAGGATGTCTGTGGAAGCACCAAGCATAACTAGAGTACTGAGAATACTTTTAACCCAGTGAGAAGCCTGCAAAAGTGAGGAGGAGGGGGAAGAAGAGGAGGAGGAGGGGGAGGAGAGACAATTGCTGGTCTGCAGAGTATGGCACCCCTGGCCTGCTGCAGCCCATGTCCTTCATACCTGGATGAATTGCTCAAACTTCTGGATGTGGGCCTTCAGCTGCTCTTCCTTGATGGCCAATTCCTCCCAGCGCAGCTTCAGGGTTTCCATTCTGCGCTTAAATGTCTTCAGGGTGCAAGAGCAGAGAGGTCAAGAGAAACCCTGACATGAGCACTCAGGAAGACCCAGCATCCACTATCACAAAGCTTGTATCCCCAGGTGCAGGGAGGCCTCTCACTTTGTACCCAGTGCCTGGCTCAGATTAGAGGATCTCAGGTCACTGATATTCCCAAGATTTAGGTTTTTTCTGGTCTCCTAAGGAAAGAGACCAGAATCATTGGCCAGAACCCCAACTCTAGCTACCCCCACCCACAAGACGAAGGGTGTCACCCTGAGTCCCAGCCAGCTCCCCTCCTATCCTGCAGCCCTGCTCCCATCCCTGAGTTCCACCACCTCACCTCCTTCTTTTGTTCCATAGCCTGATGTATGATTACAGCCTCCTTCTTCTTCTCTAGGAGCCGGATGGATGGCGATTCTGACTGCTCATCCACAGTGGGGAACTTCCTGCCCAAGATATGGGCAAGAGAAACAAGTGGGTTACGAGGCTGGGGCAGGACATGACACAAAAAAGGAAAGGGTTCTTCTCCCCCAACCCGAGTGAAAGGAATATGTGTTGAGAAAGACTTGCTGGTGTTGGGGAAGCAAGGGCTGGGGGTGGGGGTCTGGTGTCAGAGAATGGGGCGGGGTAATCTGGAGTGCTGGGGTAAGGAACAGAGGGGATAAGTAAGCAGAAGGTGGGTGAAGGGATGGGACAGACCAGGCCCACAGACACTCACTGTAGCAGGTGCAGCAGCCGCTCCCCATACTGCAGCCGGAAGTACTCAGCCAGGTCTTCCTCTTCCATGATGCCCAGACTCATGGTGGTGGTGACCTAACTGCCCAGGCGGCAAGTCTTCACAGTGAAACAGTAAGGTGACCGAGCCACCGGGGGAGGGGAGGGGTGCTCAGGGGTGGTGGCTGGGCTCTGGCTCTCCTCTCCTTTTGCGTTCAGAGTCTCACAGAGGGCAGGTGTTTGAGAGACTTAGCAGAAGCCAGCTAGAGGCCCAGGGTGGGCAGCTCAGGACCATGTGTTGGGGTGGTGATGGGAGATCTGGTTACCTAGCAACAGGTTGCTTAGTTCTGTGGACCACTGGAACCTGCGCTTTGCCCTCTGACCTCTGCTCCCAATCATCCCGCTCTTGCTGGGGTCTAGCACTCTGTTTCTGCCCTCGCGTTTCTGGAACTCCACAGGAAGCTAGGACAGATTACATACTTGTTGCCCTGGTGCTCAGGAAGGGCTGGGTGTCCCGCAGAGAAGGGCGATTTGGCAGAGGGGCGAAGTGGAGTACAAAGCCAGGCTCCTGGGGAGGGCGGCTCCCCTCCGGGTGCAGAGGTGTAAGACCCACCGACAGATGGCCAAGGTGGCTAAGAAAGGAGGAAAGAAGGCGCTTGGCCGAGGGTGCGGAGGTTATGTGGAGCGAGATGTGTGGGGCCTGTGGGAGGAGAAGGCGGGTAGAGGTGTACGTGTGCGGAGGGCGAAGGAGGAGACGCCATGGGGCACAGGGAGGAGGCCCAGGCAGGGTGGGCAGCTCCAGGGGGCTGGGTCCGGTTTTGCGATGGAAGGGGGGGAGAAAGAGAGGGAGAGAGGAAGATCGAACGGATAGAAAACAGAGAAAAGGAAAAAGAGAGAATGAGAGGGAAAGAAAAAGAAGGAAACAGAAGCAATGCCAAGACACAGACACGAAAATGTCCCCTATCTAAAGCGTTTATTGTGATGACTGCCGGCCTCGGTCCCTCAGCGCAGGCGCTCATTTAGCCGGCGGGTAAATTCGAGACCGTGGGTGCGGCGGTTGCCTGGGGCTCGGCACGCGCTGGACCCGGCTGTCGGCCCGC